ATGCTGCGTCATGTATTGCGTATGCGTTTATGATTTCACGCTTGAGTTTGAAATGTGCAGGTGCTTTATACATGGCTTATTTGTGCTCTATGCGCGGATTGGCACTGAACTCGCGGTAAGCAAGACGATTGATTCTATACACGGCATGCTTCAACATCGTATACAGCTTATAGTTAATTCCACCATTCGTGGGCGATCGTGCAGCGACTGCATCTTAAAGGAAACCTGGTGGGGCTAAACTCCATGGTAAAGCGGATGAGGCTATTGCTCGGTGTGCACTCACCCGCGCGGGGCGAGTGGGTGAAGGTGGGGGAGAAAAAACACACTCGGTCGCGTCAAGCGGTCAGGCCGTATGGCTGTGTGTATACGAGACATTTCCCGGCAGAAGCGCGCTGAAAATACTGGCGTTACGCCGAAAAAGTATACACCGCCGGTCGTGTCCTTGATCAATCATTGAGTATGGCGCTTCATTTCTCTGGCTCTCACGCACACTCGTTTTATCACTCTTTGTCGCTCTCTGCGCTTCTCTGCTCTCTCTCTATCTCTGCTTTCTCTCCCTCTGTCTTTTCATCACCTCGTTTAGCCCTCTACTCCGTGTCTCTCGTCTCTCGTTCCTCTCTCTCTGCTGCTCTCTCTCTCTCTCTGCCTCTCTCTCTCTCTCTCTCTTCTCTCTCTCGTGTCGCCTACTCTCTCCCTCCCTCGGCCCCTCTCTCTCTCTCTTTCCTCTCATACCATTCTGCGTCTGCTCTGCGTTCCTCTCCCTGGTTTCTCTCTTCTCCTCTCATCTCTTCTCACATCTCTCTCTCTTGCGCGCACTCTCTGCTCTTCCCTCCCTCTCTTCTCTGCTCTCTCTTCTTTCTCTCTACACTTCTCTCTGCTCGTCCTTGCCCTCGCTTTCTATTCTGCTCTCTCTCTCTTCTCTCTCTCTCTCTCTCTCTCTGCTCTCTCTCGTCTCTGTCTCTGCTCTCTCTGGTTTCTCGCCTTCTTCTCGGCCTGTTGCGTCCCGCGGATACGGCGGCTATCGGATGGCGGTTTAAAGCACCGCACGGGGTAAGCACATGCTTCTCTTATTGCAGTGACGGACTGGGCCGTGTGGGCGTCTGTACTGGCTCAGCATAGGCCTGCGTCTGCACTTTCTACACGGACTATCGTAGGTGCGGCCACCGTCCGCGACAGGCAGTGGGCAATGACTTTAGTTATATGGTGGGATATAATATAACACAGCTAGCATGCATTAACATCCAGCAGCTATGCTATAACACATTCGTGGGCCACTATGGTGCTCTCCATCTACATATCTCTATATGGATTATACGCGGGAGTCACATAAACTACATAATTACACAGGGAGAGATCAAAATAGATATGGTTTCTAGTTGCGATTCTAATTGGGAGTAGTAAAATGTTATAGTAATTAACACGGCAAGGAGTAGATAATCGTCAATTTGAGTTTACCTAGTTTTTGCTCATGCAGTGCCGTAGCTTAGCGGAAGGGGAGAGGGGGAGAGGGACAATTTAATTGCCACCCAGGAAAAAAAGTATATACAATCATGGTGCAATGGCGGCAGTTCGCGCAGAACACACATGCACATGGCTTTGGCCTCCAGGAAATGGGTTAGCTACGGCTCCTGTATTAATCTAGATACTAATACTAATAGCTAATACTAATCTATCTAAACTAATACTAATTAGCTAATACTAATACTAATGACTAATACTATAGCTTAATACTAATACTAATACTAATACTAATACTAATACTAATATTAATACTAATTAATACTAATACTAAGACTAATACTAAACTAATACTAATACTAATACTAATATAATATAATAATAATAGGCTAATACCAAATCCTAATATAATACTAATACTAAATACGACACGCGATAGCTGGATAGCCATAGAACCACACCGACACGCGACACGACACGATACCGATAGCCGACACGCGACACGACACTGATATTGACGCTGAGCGGGTCTATGTCCCAAGGGTACTGCCGAACGTACGCTGGTACTATCTAATATGCCGGACCGTACCTCGGCGCTACTTCGCACTAACGAGTCTAGGGAGTCGACTACGCGTACTCGCTACCCGAACCGCGAGACCCCGCCCTATTAACCCTAAATGTCTAACTCCTAACCTAACCGATATCAACATAGTTAGCCACGGGTTACGTTCCGGTATACCAAACGTAGCCCAGGGTACGTTCGCGGAGTACACTGGGGGACATAGACCGCTATGACGAACTGACAGCTAGCTGACACTAACGGCCTAATATTCGATACATTATGATATAGATAGTCCTGCGTTTAGCTGTCAGCACTGACATCTTAATCGTAGCCGGATGTTTCAATTATATGCGGAAGAATGAATAGGATTCGATTCACTCGTAATTTTCCCCACCATAGGCGTTAAATTGAACATTAAAACGAATTTCCAAACATTAGCACATAATATGCGTTAATTTACAAAATATAATCAAGAGCTAATAATACCTAAAAGAGGTATTATTAGCTCTTGATATAATGCATAACCCACGTGTGCGTTAGTCGTCAGGAATATTGGAGGCCAGGCTACAGTGATCCTTGAGACTTCTTGTAAAGGTCGGGGGGTTTCTAGGGAAAGTATAAGGCGTGTTAGCATCGGTTAGCATCACTGAATATCATTGTAGTTCTGGGAGGAAGCTTGTGAATATTAAAATGAGTCTCAGGTCGACAGCCTGCAGATTTATCTAGATGCGGACTCAATGTTGGGAATGGTTGAAACGCAACGCGTTGTCTGCTTTCACGTTTAATGATTTGCAATAATAATTATTTAGGGCATAGCAATAATATATAATAATAATAATAATAATAATAATAATGAATAATAATAATATATAATTATATATACATGCAATGATTTTGCATGTTAATAAGTTATGGGCTTTAGCCAGTACTCTGTTCTTTCCGGCTGTGGTGGCGATACAACGAACGTGCTGGGTGTCGGATAAATGATGTAAGGGCTTCCGGCTATTCCATTACTGTTTACACCGCATGACTGGTTGCTCCGCAGGGCTGATGAGGGGCGGTGATGTGGACAGCAGCTTTCGTAGATCGCTGCTTCATGTTGCGGCATGGTAGCTGTCGTGACTCAGGGCAGGATAGAGGTGCGGGGTGCTCATCAAGCGCATGGGGAAGCTCGGCCAAACAGTCGGATCGCATAGAGTTCTTGAGTAGGTCTATGTGTGTGTGGTTTGTCGTGTTGTGGTGTGTTTGTGTGTTGTGTGTGTGTGTGTGTGTGTGTGTGTGTGTGTGTGTGTGTGTGTGTGTGTGTGTGTGCGTAAATGTGTGTATATATATGCGTATGTGCGTGTGTGTGCGCGCGCCCGTGTGTGTGTGTATGTGTGCGAGCATGCGTACGTACGTACGTACGTGTGTTCCTGTGCGTGTATGCGCGCGCGTGTGTGTGTGTGTGCGCTTGAGTTTTTGCGTGTATGCGTGCGTGCGGGTGTGCGTACGTATGGGTGTGTGTGTGTGCGTGTATGCGCGTGCGTGTGTGTGTGTGTGTGTTTCCCTACGTATGTACGTCCAAGCGTGAACCTCTCCCCAGATAATCACGTGCTATTCTGCTCGCTCACAGCTTCAGCGTTGATCCGCTGCAGAGGCACACCTTCTGGAGTCTGGTGGTAGGTGGCGCATTCACCTGGACCGCTATATACGGAGTCAATCAGGCACAGGTGCAACGTTGCAACACCTGCCCGAAACTACGCAGCGCCCAGATGTGAGCACATACACCGAATTTTTCGGTCGAATAATTAATTTTTTTTAATCATTTTTCTAGCAAAAAGTTGATAGTGTAAACCCAGCTTTTGCTCTACGATTGACTGCCTCGCCCCAGAGGACTGTCAGTGTAGAATAGGAGTACACGTGTTCATAGCAGACGCTGCTGATACAGAGCATATAACTGTCTGATCCTGGATGCAACACACTCTACGAGTCGACAGACAACACCACCGCCACAAACAACCCCAACAGCAGCAGCAGCGGCAACAACAACAGCAATAACAACAACAACAACAACAACAAAAACAACAACAACAACAGCAGCAACAACAACAGCAGCAGCAGCAGCAGCAACAACAACAACGTGATAATATAATCCAATCATATTATACATCCGTACATACTCTTATGCGCACTAACGTGATTTTAATATAGTCGTGCTATATATTACACAGAGCGATGTGGATCAACCTACCGGGACTGACTGCACTGGCGACTATCTGCTCTCTGGCTGGTCTTGTCATCTATGCTGTCTACGCCCAGTGTGACCCTCTCACGACAAAGACCATCCTCGCTAAGGACCAGGTATGATAACCTATAGTTACAGTCCACCGTAATTTCTAATAATTTAAGGCCTCGCTTTGCCGATAGCGAGTGGAGTGATTTTTGTCGAGCATACGTAGTGTAATAATGCGGTAGGTAGGCCTACTACAGAATCTATACGGTACATGTATACTGGGACTTGCGATGGGTCACGAGTGGGTTATCGTGTACAGGGAACGTTGAGAGACGCGATTTTGTAATAATTTACAAGCTTCTACAGTTACACATACACGTGAGCGGCTTGCGAGGAGTGATGAAGACACAATAACGGTCCGATAGCAGTTTAAGGTCGATGTCCCATGATCGGCCATCTTGTTTTTTTAATATTTTTGTTTTAGTTTAAGAAATCGATTTTCTTGTTTTATTTGTGATCGGACGTCCCATTTATTGTGATAAAAAACCGATGGCTGAGCGCGATGTGGTTGTGTCTGCAGAAGGTACTGGTAGTGGTAATTGCAGTACGCGGACGCCGTATGTGGCGTGTCCCTGTCAGAACCGCTCAGTCACTTGCCGCAGCCCTACATAGCCTAGCACTACAAACACATAATAATAGAGAATAGAAATAGATTGGAAGATAAAGAAACTGGAGGGTACGCATGTCGTGCTATGTGAGTAAAACCTTGACATGTCCGTGTGCAGTGCGACTAGGAGCCTTTGTGTGTACCGACATAGATTCCCTATTATGCGGGCAACCGAGTGTATACGTGGGGCGTGTTATCAACATGCCACAACTCGTGAGTGTAAAGTCTGGCTGCGAGCTGCCCACAAAGTTTCACGATTGAACAGTATTTTCGTTTTCATTTCTACACCTCAGACTTGGCTCGCTTAATCTCTATTTGAATTACCAACTCAATCGAGAGCGTTCACAACTTACTGTCAGCCTATCGATTAGGGTTCCTTCCGGGATAAATCGCTGTTAGTGAAACACAGCATTTAATCGTAAAGCAGTGGATCGAATAAGCAAGACACGCGTTTTAATATCATAACCAATTATATGCATACAACCAGGAGGGAATAACAACAAATTATGTCTCAAACCTAAGAAAAGAATTCCGTATTTATATATCTACTCCTGATACAACTTGAATGACAGAGATGGGTAGACAAGCTGCGCATGCGCAAAGCTGCTGACAGGCACAATTTAGCTATGAACGGGAGTTAATAAAGACAAACTTAAATCTTTATTAACTCCTGCTATAAACTAATGTTAGTCTATGTATTAATTATGTAGGAAAATATAGTGGTGTCAAGAGTTAAAACAGTGCATGTGCTTCTGTAGTATATAATGAATTATTATAATGATTATTATAATTATTATAATATGTATTATATATATATATATAAATATATAGATATATATATATATTGTAATTATTATAATGAATTATAGTATGTATAATTATATATATAATAAATAATATATAATAATAAGTATAATTATAATTATAATCATACGGAAATATAAAAGAGTCTGAATCTTGGGTGAGATTTTTGCTGCTTCCTCATCATGGCTTCCTCTCCCTTGTGTAGCTGCTGCCTCATCATGGCTTCCTCTCCCTTGTGTAGCTGCTGCCTCATCATGGCTTCCTCTCCCTTGTGTAGCTGCTTCCTCATCATGGCTTCCTCTCCCTTGTTTAGCTGCTGCCGCTGTTCGTGATGGATCACCTGAGCTTTCTGCCAGGTCTACCTGGGCTGTTCGTCGCCTGCCTCTTCAGCGGTGCTCTCAGGTATGCGCGCTTTCCCTATACCTGTCAATCAACAGGGTGATCGTGTAGAACCATAGGTTTAGTTGATATATTAATAATGATACATACGCATTTCTCATTGCTTTATTATTATTATAATTATTATTATTATTAATACTATTAATGTTATTTTTTATTGTTCTTATTATTATAATCATCATCATCATCATCATCATCAGCATCATCATCATTATTATTATTATTATTTCCAAAGTGGGTCACGGTATTATTATTATTATTATTATTATTATTATTATTATTATTCGTTATCAGTACGATCTCGTCTGGTCTCAACTCGCTGGCTGCGGTCACGTTGGAAGACATCATTAAGCCGTACGTCTTCAAGAACCTCGCTGATGAGCGATACGCCCTCATCTCTAAGGGCATGGGTACGTATACGTATAATATAATTATACTTTACTGATACTTATACTTACACTTATAAGTATAAGTTATACTTATACTTATACTTGTTAATTTAGACGCTAATTGATTGCATTAATTTGTATTGCCGAACTCAATATGTATCATAGGTGGTATAAGTATATAACTGTGAGATACAACAACGCACGCCCGACCGTCCAAGGACGTTGAAATGTGCAATGACAACGCTTCCGTTGGGGCTACTAGCGTGATGACGTCAACGAACAGACGAATAATAACACCATTTACATAAAATCCCTACTCAATTTTATCTAACAGGCCAGCAACTATCAGATGTACACGTCGTATAATATAGTATATATACGCGATTTCACGTAGACATTGTTCGAGGGGTTTAGTTACACTGTCGCGATGGCGTTGCAGCGATACTGTACGGTGGCGCCGCCATCGGACTGACGGCCGTGGCGGCACAGCTGGGTGGAGTCCTGCAGGCGGCTCTCAGCATCTTCGGCATGATAGGAGGACCACTGCTCGGTCTCTTCTCTCTCGGCATCTTCTTCCCCTGGGCGAACAAATGGGTGAGAAGCGATTCGACGACAACCGAAGCTAAATGACTAAATATTTATTATGTGTATAATAACAATAATTATAAGTGTTGGATGAGGTGTTTGGACGGTTACACTTAATTTGTACGGACAATTATGCTATCCATTTATGTAATATATCCTTTGACCTTGTTTGATACGTGGATAGGCATCGCGGCTAGAACTCTGATGTGAATTCTCAACATCAGTGTGCGTGCGCGTGTGTGCGACGCGGTACCTACTGGTTTCAGGGAGCAATATTTGGTCACATTGGAGGACTGACAATTTCTTTCTGGATTGGTCTGGGAGCGTATGTGAACAAGCCAAACTTTTACACGAATCCCACCTCCATCGACGGCTGCAGCAACGACACTCTAGCCTACGCCAATCTTACACTGCCCTACGAGAAAGCACCGTTCGTTGAGTGAGTGCAACATGAATTATAAACTTAATTATGTAGCGCACGTGCGTGCGTGTGTGTGTGCGTGCGTGCGTGCGTGCATGCGTGTATGTGTTCGTGCATGCGTTCGTATATGCGCGCATGCGTGTTTGCGTGCATGCGTACGTGGGTGCGTGCTTGCTTGCGCGTGAGCGCCCGTCTGTTTTATGCTTCGTTATAGCATTATTATTCTCCAGTAGTTCCGATAATTTATACAAGGACTGTAAATTGGCTTTGATTCTCTACTTCTTATTAATAAAAAAGCAAAAATTCCCCCAAATACATTTATTATTAACAATTATTTTTTTATGTTTTTTAATCTAAAAATTAAATAATATAATAATAAATTTGAATATTATAATATTAGTATAAAATATCATTAATAGTTTTTGCTTTCTGTTTCATTAAAAATGAACACATTCCTACATTTATTATTGACAACATGTATTTTTTATCTTGAAAGGTACCAACTGCTATATGTACTGCATATCTATTCTTCTTGTTGTGTTGTATGTAGTCGGTGCATCACCCGGTAGCTATAACCGGCGCACTGATATATATTTTCTTCTATTTCACCTCTAGAAAGGAGGTGTTCCCGCTCTACAGGCTGAGCTATATGTGGTATAGTGCGGTTGGCTGTATGTCTGTCATAGTGTTAGGTCTCATCATTAGTTTTATGACAGGTAACAATGATACGTACCCTTACTCGTTATACCACTCATTCTCTCTCTCTCTCTCTCTCTCTCTCTCTCTCTCTCTCTCTC